CCCCAGGGGGGCCCCCAGAGGGGCCCCCGGGGAGGGCCCCTCTGGGGGCCCCCAAGGGCCCTGGGGGCTCTAAAAGGGCCCCTCCGGGGGCCCCCAAAGGCCCTGGGGGGCCCTCAGGGGGCCCCCCTGGGGGGCCCCAAGGGCCCTGGGGCCCCTCAAAGGGCCCCCCAGGGGGCCCCCAGGGGCCCCTGGGGGCCCTCAAGGGGCCCCTCTGGGGGCCCCCAAAAGCCCTTGGCCCCCTGGACCCTTGGGGGCCCTCAGGGGGCCCCTGTGGGGCCCCCAAGGGCCCCTAAGGGCCCCCAAGGGCCCCCAAAGACCCTTTAGGACCCTTTTTTGGAATTCTTTTGGAGAGAAATTTGCAAAGAAAACTCACAAGGGGTGGGGGGGGAAAGACTGGCGGCGTCGGCTAAACCCTTGTAGTGGGCCAGCAGCGGGCGCAGCGCGTGGCAGTCAAACAAGTGCAGCAGCTGCAGCAGCAGCAGCAGCAGCAGCAGCAGCAGCAGCAGCAGCAGCAGCAGCGGGGGTGGGGAAACTGGCGGGGATTATAGAAGGGGAGCATACGCCTAGGGAACTGTTGCAGGGGCGCTGGCAGGATTAGCTGCAGCAGCAGCAGAAGTGGCAGCAGCAACAGCATGCAACAACAACAACAGCAGCAGCAGCAGCAGCAGCAGCAGCAAAAACGGAAGCAACAGCAACAGTCACACGAGAAACAACAGCAGCAGCAGCAACACCAACAGCGCCAGCAGCAGCAGCAGCAGCAGCAGCAGCAGCAGCAGCAGCAGCAGCAGCAGCAGCAGCAGCAGCAGCAATACCAGCAGCAGCAGCAGCAGCAGCAGTCTGTCGGAGGCGTCACGCACCGCTGTGAGTTCTGGCACTGTGGCAGCAGCTCTGAGGAAGTCCTCAAAGGTGAGGCCCCTTGCTGCTGCTGCTGCTGTGGAAGCAGCAGCAGCAGCAGCAGCTGCTGCTGCTGCTGCTGCTGAGGGCGGGGCTGTCTTTGTGTCTACAGAATGGTGGGGACTCAAAAGGCCCTTCACAAAGCCTTCGCTTCTCCTGCGGCGCTGCCTCGCGAGGCTGCCCCCGCATGCAGCAGCAGCTTCCTGCTGCTGCTGCTGCTGCTGCTGCTGCTGCTGCTGCTGCTGCTCTTGCTGCTGCTGCTGCTGCTGCTGCTGCTGCTTGCGCGTCTCCTCCTTTGCAGCAAACACAAGGTCCACAATCTTCTGCACCTTTTCCTTCTTCTCTGCATCTGTGAGTCTCCCTGGATATCCCAGGGGCCCCTCAGTGGGTTCTCCGGGGGGCCCCCGGGGGGCCCCTGCGGGTCTCCTGAACCCTCGCCCGGGCACAGCCACAAATGAGCTGGCAAGTTGTACAGCAGCGCGAAGAGCTCTGGCCTTTCTATGAAGCCATTCCCGTCGAGGTCATAGCTGCAGCAGCAGCAGCAGCAGCAGCAGCAGCAGCAGCAGCAGCAGCAGCGTTGTGAGGGTCTCGAAAGGAAGCAGCCGCAACAGCAGCAGCACATTCTAAAGCTGCCCACTGCAACAGCCACAGGCAGCAGCAACGCAGCTGCATATGCTTGGCGAGCTAGCTATCTGTAGCTAGCTAGCTAGCTAGCTAGCTAGCTAGCTAGCTGGCTAGCTAGCTAGCTAGCTAGCTAGCTGCATTTGTCTTCCTATCTGTATGCATCTGTCTGTCTGTGCCTGGATAGCTAGCTAGCTGCGCGGGGCTTACGAACTAGCTGCATATATGTCTAGCTAGCTAGCTGTGCGTGGCTAGCTAGCACTCTGCGTTTGGCTAGCTGGCTACCCGTGTGCACTTCGCTAGCTGCACTTCAGCATGCATCCCTCTGAGCCCAGCTAGCTAGCTAGCTAGCTGCATATCTAGGTGGCTAGCTGTGTGTCCAGCTAGCTAGCTGTCTAGCTAGCTAGCTGCCTAACTAGCCGTCTAGCTAGCTAGCCATCCAGCCAGCTAGCTACCCAGCTAGCTAGAGGCCTCGCTAGCTGTCTAGCTGCCTACCTGGCTAGCTAGCTACCTAGCTGGCTAGCTAGCTATCTATCTGCCTATCTTTCTGTCTTTCTAGCTAGCTAGCTGCATGTCTGTGTAGCTAGCTAGCTAGCGACCAAAATGGGTGGCTAGCTACCTGGCTAGCTAGCTAGCTACCCATCTGGCTAGCTAGCTGCCCATGTGACTAGCTAGGTACCCAGCTAGCTACCCATCTGGCTAGCTAACAACCCAGCTAGCTAGCTACCCAGCTAGCTACCCAGCTAGCTACCCAGCTAGCTAGCTAGCTAGCTGCCCAGCTAGCTGCCCAGCTAGCTACCCAGCTAGCTGCCCAGCTAGCTGCCCAGCTAGCTGCCCAGCTAGCTACCCAGCTAGCTACCCAGCTAGCTACCCAGCTAGCTAGCTAGCTACCCAGCTAGCTACCCAGCTAGCCAGCCAGCTGCCCAGCTAGCTAGCTAGCTAGCTACCCAGCTAGCTACCCAGCTAGCTCCCCAGCTAGCTCCCCAGCTAGCTCCCCAGCAAGCTACCCAGCTAGCTACCCAGCAAGCTACCCAGCTAGCTACCCAGCTAGCTAGCTATCTACCCAGCAATCTACCCAGCTAGCCAGGCAGCTGCCCAGCCAGCTAGCTAGCCAGCTAGCTAGCTAGCTAGCCGCAGGCTGACAGGTCGAAGAGGAACTTCATGCGGGTGTGGCGTTCTGGCGCGTAGGCGGCCTGAAGGCCCTGGAGAAACTCCGGAAAAGATATTTTGTCGTCTTTGTTTAAATCAAATAATTGAAAAAGTCTTTCTCCCAAAAGTCCCGGAAAGTTTTCGAGAAACTCCAACAAAGCTGTTCTGTCGAGACACCCCAGCGACCAGCGCCCCCCCCCGCCCGCAGAGTCCCGCGCCAGCTGCCTGACCAAACAAACAGCACACTCCTGCTGCTCCTGCTGCTGCTGCTGCTGCTGCTGCTGCTGCTGCTGCTGCTGCTGCTGCTGCTGCTGCAGTTGCTCCGATTGCTGCTGTTGGGCTTGCTGATGCACTTGTTCGCGTTGCTGCTGCGGCTGCTGCCCTGACTGGCAATGTTGCTGCTGCTGCTGTTGTTGCTGCTGCTGCTGTTGTTGTTGCTGCTGCTGCCGGTGTTGATGTGTTTGCTCGTTGCGCTGCTGCCGCTGCTGCTGCTGCTGCTGCTGCTGCTGCTGCTCTGCATCCTCGCCGCTAGAAGATTCTCTCAAGCACGTTTCTTGGGGGGCCCTTTTTGTCTGCGCTGCGGCCGCCTCCGGCGGCAGCAGCAAACTGGGCGTTCCTTTGCTGCTGCTGCTGCTGCTGCTGCTGCTGCTGCTGCTGCTGCTGCTGGCCTCTGGAGCGTGGCCCCTCCTCCCCTTTTTGGCGTGCGTCTCCGGCTCTGCTGCTGCTGCAGCAGCAGCAGCAGCGCAGTGGGGACTCAGGTAATTGTCCAGGAAAAAGGCAAAAGGACTTTCTTCTTCTTCTTTTCCGTGGCTAGCCAAAAGCCTCACAGCATTTACTTTGCTGCGCTCCGGGCTGCAGCACTCCGCCAGCGGCAGCGCAGCAGCCTGCGGGCTTCTTGCTGCGCGTCTGGGGGCAGCGGAGAGCTCCATGGCCGCAGCAGCAGCAGCAGCAGCAGCAGCAGCAGCAGCAGCGGCTGCGGCGGCAGCAGCGGCCCTCTCCCGTCCCCAGGGGGAGCTGCTGCTGCGGCTTCGCGCCCGCGAGAACTGGCCCGCAGGATACGGGGAGGCGGCGCAGGTGGCGGCTGCAGAGGCCCTGCTGCTGCTGCTGCTGCTGCTGCTGCTGCTGCTGCTGCTATTGCTATTGCTGCTGCTGCACTGGGAAGCCGCGAAGGCGCATGGCGGGGAAGCACAGTGGTCTGCAGCAGGAGAGGCCTTTGTGCAGCTTTTGTCTTTTGGCGTTTGGGGCTTTTTGCAAAAGCGCAAAAAGTCCGCAATCAAAGGAAGTAAAATGAAGTGCAGAAGAAGAAACTGGAGCGAAGGGGAGTGCTGCGGTGTACGTACACCTGAGGAGCATGCGGAGCTCGCTGCGCATGTTGCTGCGGTGTACGTACACCTGAGAACATGCGCAGCTCGGCGCTGCCGAGACGCAGCAGCTGCGACGGGCAGCTGCTGCTGAGTTGGAGGCAAAAGCAGTTTAAAAGAGTTTTAAAATCGTTTTAAAAGTCTTTTAAAATGCTTTTATTTGATAAATTTGCAGCAAAGTCGCCAAAGTCTGCGCAGCCGCGGCTATAGGTGACCTGCGTGGGGCCCGCCGAGGTTACCTGATCGGTGAGGACGCAGGCGGGCTGTCCTCGAGTCCTTGGCCTTTAATTAGTTTGAATTGAATTAAATTAAATAAATTAAAATTAATTAAATTAAATTAAATTAAATTAAATAATTCTTTTACTCGTTTGTTTGCTTCCAAAAGCTGCGCGGGCGCTCCCGGCTGCTGCTGCCTGCGCAAGTGCACACACCAATGGACTGCAGCCGCTGCAGCGCGAAGCTGCAGCAGAACTTGACTTTATTTTTGTTTTATTTTAATTTGAAAACAATTTATATTTGCAAAACAATTTATATTTGCAAAACAACTTTTTGCTGCAGCAAATTTCCCAATAAAAGCTGTCTTCGAGTTGCTGCTGCTGCGGGCTGTGGCCGCTCGCCTGCATGCGAGTTCGAATCTTCTCCGTTTCTTTTGCCAAAAAGTGTTCTTTTTCTGTTTTTGCAAAACTCTTTTATTTTATTTATTTATTTCATTTAATTTGCAGCTAATTGGCCCCACTTTGGCCCCACCAGTGCAGCAGCAGCGCAGCAAAAAGTTCAGTTTCTGGTGACCACTGGAGCTGCACATCTCGCGGCTCTTTTGCGAGTTTTGGAGTGTACGTACACCTCAAAATACGAACACATAAATGCAGATTTAAATCCGCCATTTCTTTTCATTTAAATCTTTTCCGCTTTCCGCCTCTGCTGCTGCTGCGCCATCTCCCGCTGCACTTTTGTTTTATTTTATTTCACTTTTATTTATTTCTCTTTTTTAATTACTCCTTTGTTTCTCGTGTTGTACCTCCGGGTGTCCCCCTGAGGAGCTGCAGCAGCTTCCGCTGCAGCAGCTTTCCTTTTGCTGCGCTGCTGCCCCGCAGCACTTGCTGCTGCTGCTGCTGCTGCTGCTGCAGCGCCTGGCAGCAAAGAAGGCGGCGCTTCAGGCATTTGCAAAGTTCGCTTTATTTCACCGCCATTGGCAGCATCTTGGGGGCCCTTCTGGGGTGCTTTGTTTGCGTGCTGCTGCAGCTGCTGCTGCTGCTGCTGCTGCTGCTGCTGCTGCGGGTCCCTGCTGCTGCTGGCAGCACTCCCAGACGCGGCAGTTTGATTTGCTGCTGCAGCTGTCTGCAGCGCAGCACGGGGGGGCGCTTTTGCTGCTGGCGTGTCGCTGACTTTCCTTTTCTTCTTCTGCAGCTCCTCAAGTCCCCGCTGCTGCTCTGCTGCAGGCGCCCGTGCTGCTGCTTCGGGCTTCACCTGCAGCAGCAGCTGCTGCTGCTGCACCTGCAGCAGCAGCTGCTGCTGCTGCCAGCCTTCCGCCGCGCCTGCGTGCGGCTGCTGCTCAGCACTTGCTGCAGTGGACACGGAAGCTGAGAGGGGGGGGCCTTCTTCTTGAATGCATGCAACTTGAGGATCATTTGCAGATTTTCGAGAAGAGATAAATCCATTTTTTTCATTTGTTTTGTTTTTGAGAAGCAGCGAAGGCTCAGGCTTTCCCGCGGCGCTGCAGGAAGCAGCAGCAGCAGCAGCAGCAGCAGCAGCAGCAGCGTCTGCTGCTTCGAAGCTGCTGCTGGAGCTCCTGCACTTCTGCGGAGGCCTGTGTTCAACTTGACTCTTCTTCTGCTCGCAGTTCTCCCGCAATTCATTCTAAAAGGAAATTAATTTGCAAAACATTTAAAAGTTTTGCATGCAGTGGCTGCTTACCAAGAGGGGCTGCCACGAAGACCCCAGCTCGACTCCCGCAGCAGCAGCAGCAGCAGCAGCAGCAGCAGCAGGTTCTCTGCGCTGCTCCCTCGTGGCTTCGCTCTCGGACTTCGTCAGTCTTATCCGACTTGATCTGTTTTTAAAGAAATAAAAAATGAAATAAAAGAAATAAAAATGAAATAAAATTTGAATTTGAATTTTGAAAAATCTGAATTTACGAACCGCCGCAGCACTGCGTTGGACAGCTGCGCGAGGACGCGGCTGAATTCCTGAAGCCGAATTTGAATTTTTGGAAAAAGTTTGTTCAAATGGTATTTTATTTCTCCAAATTTGAATTAATAAAACAAATTTGAATAAATAATGTTTTATTCACCAATTCAGTGAACTCCGGAACAGATTTCTTCGAAGAAAAACCTGCAGCCCTCGCTTTCCCCCGGCTCAAAGCAGCGAGAAGAAATCGAACCCACAAACGGCAGCTTTCAGAAGCAGCTGGACTTCTATTTTCAAATTCTGAAAATAAAACATCAAAATATTAAAAGTGCGCAGCGGAGTTTAATTTGAAGTTTTAAATTGAACTGAACTTTCAAACAAGACCCCAACGACAGCAGGGTCACCGTTGCAACTTTCGTCAGCCGCGCCTCGCTGGGCTCTTCGTCGACTTCGAAACATTTTTTTTCGCATTTAAACATTTCAAAAAGCAGAATTGTTGGATTTGAAGAATTAAAAAGAATAAAAGTGTTCTCACCCGCAGCAAAAAAGATCGAGAGCCACGCAGGAGTGGGAAACAGCGCCTGAGTCCGCAAGTGGATCTTGCAATTTGCAAAATCTGGAATGTGTGCTCACCAGATCCGACTCGCTCACGAGATCGCTCAGGAGATTCACTTCGAAAAAGTTTGAAACTCTAAAAGTGAAATAAAACAATTAAAATAAATCCGCAAGTTTCGAGAAACTGGCTGCTTTCTCCCCACTTTGGACAGAAGACCGATCGGATCTGCGTGGTTGCGTCGAAGGCTGCTTCGAATTCCGTTCGCGAGCCTTCTTTCCTCGCGGCTGCGCGTTTAAATACTTTTTGATTAAAATAAATAAAAGTGATTTAATAATTATTTTACAAATATAATTTGCAGTTGCGGACGCGCACTGGTCCGGCGACAGACTCCCCGCGTGTCGCCTGCACCAGTCCTTCAGGCGCAGCCTGCCGGCCTTGTAGTTCTTGTTCTGGTGGCTAATTTGGCTTTTAATTTCCGTTTTTGAATTTAAAAACGAAAAATCATACCTGCAAACCAGCAGCAAAATGTTCGTCATCACATTTGCCCGAGGTTTCTTCGAAGTTTCAAGTTGAAATGCGTTTCCGATCGCCCGCTCCGCGCCGCTCCTCGCCGCGAGCGAGGAGCCAGCAGCAGCGCTGAGGCTTCTTTTTGTTGGCGGAATTAAATCATTTTTTATTTCTTTTATTTCTTTGTTTTCTGTTTTTGAAGTCAGCGGCTCCAGCGGGCCCCCTGCTGCTGCGCTGCAGGCAGCAGCGGCTGCTGCTGCTGGCAGCAGCTCTGTAGGCGGAGGTGAAAGCAAAGACTCCTGATGCCCTGCAGTGGCGCTCTTACGCTGTTTGGCTGCAGCAGCAGCATATGCTTCTTGTGCAGCAGCAGCAGCAGCAGCAGCAGCAGCAGCAGCAGCGCTGCTAGCTTCTCCCTCGAGGCCCGCGGGTCTTCCCCGTTTTGCAGAATTGTTCAAAAGAGATTCAATTGCATCTGCAACACGCGAAAGCTCCGAAATGTCTTGGACTTGGAACTCGCAGCCCCTTGCTGCTGCTGCTGCTGCTGCTGCTGCTGCTGCTGCTGGGGGCCCCGGCTGCTGCAAGTCCAGAGGGGCCCGCCTTTCCGAAGCGCAGAAGTCAGCAGCAGCAAGAAAGCTGTGGGGCTGTGTGGGGTCGGAGCAGCGGGAAGCTGCGGGGTGCTGCATGCTGCAGAGGCCTGCAGCAGCAGTGCTGCTGTGCTGCTGCTGCTGCTGCTGCTGCTGCTGCTGCTGCTGCTGCTGCCCGTCGGCCAAGGGCCACCAGGGGCCCCCCCCGAAAGCTGCTGCAGCAGGCAACTCGGGGCCCCCCGCCTGCTGCACCTGCCACGCTGCAGCACGAGCAGCAGCACTGTAGCTGCTGCTGTACTGCGTTGCTGCTGCAGCAAAAGCCTCGAGAGGGTACTGCCCCGGCTGGCAGCTCGCAGGGGCCCCCGGGGCCCCCGGGGGCCCCGGGGGCCCCGAGAAGTGGGTATAGCTGGGGGTAGGGAATTTTGCTGCTGGATCTGTTAGCTGCTGCTGCTGCTGCTGCTGCTGCCAAGAAGAGGGCAGCAGCGCTGTCTCTGGCGGCGGCTGCAGCTCGAGGCTTCGGCCTTCGTGGAAGCTCCTTTTGTGGGGTGCTGCAGAACCATATGCTGCTGCTGCTGCTGCTGCTGCTGCTGCTGCTGCTGCGCCGTATGCGTTGGCTTGGGGGTGCTGGCTGGGGCGGACTGCTGCTGTGGGCCAGTCGCCAATTCCTGCAGCTGCTTCTGCCTGTTCAAATGTCCCTTGGGGGCCCCACAACCCCTGCTGCTGCTGCTGCTGCTGCTGCTGCTGCTGCTGCTGCTAAGGAAGTAGTTGGGGAGTGTGTAGGGATTGTGGACAGCAAAGGCAGTACCGCGTTGGCTGCAGGCCGGGGCAAAGAGTTCCTGGAGCAGCAAGAAGACTCCAAAGAGCTTCTTGGGTCTTCTCCAGATTCCGAACTGGTTCTGGTCTGCAGCAAATGGACTTTTGCTGCTGCAGGCTGCAGCAAACAGCAGTCTGCAGCAGCTTACCGCGAAGCGCCTTGCTGCTTTCTGGCTGCAGTGCAGCGCAGCGGCCTCGCCGCGAGCTCCGCCTCCCTGCGGGCTGTTCGCCGCTTTCTGCAAAAAAAGGAAAATTTGAAGAAGACTTTGGAAAATAAATGCGAAAATAAACAAAGAGGAGAAAACGGACCGCCTGGGGCCCGGGTTTGCCGCCGTGGCGGCCGCGCGGCGGCTCCGCCGGCGCCGAATTCAACTTGCGGCTTTTTCCGTGAAGAGCCGCCGCAGCAAAGCGCTGGCCCCACTCTTTGCTGCAGTAATCCCGCGAAAGCTGCGGCGCGGGTTGGGAAAAGAAGTGGTAGGCAGCGCAGAAAGAGGCGGCGAGAAGGGTGAGCAGCGCCAGCCCAGTCTGCAGCAGAAACATGAAGGCGATGCTCACTTCGGCCGCCATCGCCGCTTTTCTTTTTTCCAGGCATGTTGGCCTCGCAAAGGCCTTTTAATTCCGCGCAAATGCAAACTCAAACACAAGTGACAGCCCGCAAGGCGAGCCGCTTTCGGGAGTGCTGCTCGCGGCTGCGCGGCTTCAGGTGTATCCGCAGCTACGCCTGCGCTGGACTTGGCGGGAAACTCGAGTTTCGAATTTCCTTTGCGGGAATACTTGTGTTTAGACTTTCAAAAACTGCTTATTTGCAGTTTTAAAAGACTATTTCGTGAAGGGGAGCTGCGGGAACCGCGGGAAGTTGAGTTCTGTCTGGAAAACTTGCAACTTGAATTGCGTTGCGCGGAAGCGCGCGGCGGAAACTGCGTTCCGTGCTTCGTTAATTGAAATGTTTTCTTCGAAATGCAACTTCGACGCAAACTCTGACAGAGAGAGTCGAAGTGTAGGCAGCTCAAGCTGATCTGCAGCTGCCACACAACAAACAGTTCAGTCTCGGCGGCGGCTGCTGCAGCTCTGCTGCGGGAGGGCAGCAGCAGCGCCGCAGCAGCAGCAGCCACTTCAACTGCTGCTGCCAGCAGCAGCAAAAGGCCCCACAGGCTGCAGTTTGCTGCAGCTCTTAAGCTGCAGTTTGCTGCAGCTCTTAAGAGCTCGCAGGGGCCACCGCAGACTGCCGCCTCTTCACGCGCTTACGGGCTGCGTCTGCTGGAGTCTCCTGCAGCACTGCTGCGCTCTTTCGCATGCGTTTGCCTGCGGAGACCTTGTCCAGGTCCCCCGCTGCTGCTGCTGCTGCTGCTGCTGCTGCTGCTGCTGCTGCTGGAGTCCGCGGCCGCTCCGGGGCCTCCTCAGGTGTCAGTGCACCCCCTAAGGCTCCAGCTGCTGCAGTCCTCAGGGCCCCCTCTGCAGCAAACTCACTTTTATTTGCTGCAGCTGCTGCGAAAGGCGCATGCAGTGTGGGGCCCCCGGCCAGTGCTGCGGGGTGTACAGACACCTCAAGGGGGGCCTCCTCCTCCAGCTCTGCAGCATTTCGCGCCAGCTTTGCTGCCAAAAGAGCAGCAGCAGCAACGTGAGCAGCAAGTGCAGCGCTTTTGTGGCTGGCCTCGCTCGAAGCAGCAGCAGCTGCTGCTGCTGCTGCAGACTTCGCAGCAATGCCAGCAGCTGCAGCAGCAACAGAAGTTGTCTCTTCCTTCAACGCCCAAGACATGGAGTCGGCGCATGCGCACAAACGCTTCTTTTGCTGCTGCAGCAGCTGCTGCACGTCGCAGTGAGCCCGCGGCTCCGCAGCAGCAGCTGCAGCAGCTGCAGCAGCTGCAGCAGCTTCAGTGCCGCTTGCACTCGCCCCTGCTGCTCGTGCTGCTGCTGCTGTTTGCTGCTGCTCCTCTGAAGCTTCGCCCCTCTTCGCAAAAAACGCATGCAACTTGCTGCTGCTGCTGCTGCTGCTGCTAGGCGAGGAGGCAGCGGGCACCGCCGGCGTCGCTGCTGCTTCGGCCTTGTCTGTGGGCTGTGCTGCTGCAGCTGCTGCTGCTGCTGCTGCAGCAGCAGCAGCTGCTGCTGCTGCTGCTGCTTCGGGCGGTGGAGTCCTGGCTGGCGGTGGACTCTGTTCCTTTTTCTCCTTTTCCTCAGTGTCCAGCAGCGAGTTGTTGGCCTCCAACTGCGCCTTCAGCTGCTCCGCGAGCTCCTGCTGCTTCGCCTCCACCACTTTTTCTTCATTTCGAATATTTTGAAATATTTCTTCGAGTTCTTCCGTGAGGTTGAAGGCTTGCGCCACTTCCTCCGTTGCGTACCAGCGCTGAAGAAAAAGTTGCACAAAAACGCGAAATGAACTCCAATTTCGGATTTGTTTTCCCCTATTATTTAATTAATTAATCAATTAATTAATTAATTATTAATCTAGTTTATTATTTCTTTGCTGATTGGCATTTATCTCGCTAAGTCGCAGATCTTGCACGTTTGCACGATCGCTCTGCGAGCGCTCCTTGGGGTGCACCGGAAACATGCCTGAAACTCGAACTGGAATGCCTCATTTCTCATTCTGAAATATAAAATATATTACATTAGTTCAAGTATTTGATTTAATTTTAAAATTTGATTTAATTCTGCTTCAAAGGCGCAAACACGCGAGGCTGCCTTCACCCGCTGCCTGTCTTCCGCTCGCCGCTCATAAACCATGCAGTGTTTCAGCTGCCTCTCAACTTCGGCCTTCGTCACGTGGCGGTTTCTGAAAGAAATAAAAAACAAAAAAAGCAAATTTGCGACTGAGAGGAACTGCAGCAGCAAAAATGAACGGGAAAGCGGGGTCTTTTGTTTCTCACTGTTCAGATTCTAAACAGAGGAACATTTATCTTAAAGCAATGTTATCACTTATATGTCTTAAAGAAACTTTATCAGTTATAAGTCTTCAATGAACAACATTTATTTCAACTTGGCCGCTGGGAAGCAGCAGAAGAAGGGGCACCGGGCAACCCATCTGGCTCTGAACTCTTCATCTTTTGCCTTATTTTGCAGCTCAAATTGCTGAATTATTTGATTTAGATATATTTAAAAGCGAGGAAAACCTACGCTTTTTGAAACTCCGAGATATTCCTCAGCTTTCCGACAGTCTTCCCGTGGAAAAACTGGAAAGAGGCGCACAGGAATGCAGGCGAGTGTTGCAGTGGCAACTCTTTGCACATTTAGGTATTCTTTTCAAATGCCACTTCTTTCAAATGCCATTTCTTTCAAATGCATGCGCTGGATTTTCAAAAATGCAAATTCGATGCTATTTATCTTTTAGAAAGGGAATTCCTGCATTCTTTTGTCAGCACTAGGCGACACTCTGAAGAACTTCGAGGGGATACTTTGTGAAACAACAGCAAACTTGCACGAAAAGTGGAAATCACTTCGCATTTATGAATATTAGATTTATATTTTTTAATATTATATTTATATTTATGAATATTGCATTTATTTTTCAATTTAAATTCACGAATTATGCTTCTGCCACTTCTTTTCTTCTCACTTTCAGCAGATTGATGCTGTCTTCGTCAGACCATCGGCGGCGCGAATGAGTGGGCAAAGCATCGAGCCGGCAGAAAGGGTTTCTGCCTTCGGCAAACAACAAACAAAGTCGTTTCATTTGCATGAAAAGAAGCATTAGAAAGCAGAATTGCTGAATTAATATAATATATATAATTAAAAAGTGAAGAAATATTCACAAATGCGAAACAAGTTCTACTTTTCGTGCAAGTTTACTGCTGATTCACACCAAGTCCTCACCCCAGTCGTCGCCAATGCAGCCGTATGCAGAACACCAATTGCGGTCCCTTAAAGTCGGAAAAGCCACAAGTGGAGACGCAACTGCAAATTCAAATTCAGAAAAACATTATTTATTTCGAAAGATAAATCTTTCGACCCAAAACATGAACAGCGAGGCGCGCGCCACCAAACCAGCGAGACTTCCGGCTTTCTTTGCTCGAACGCAGACCCGCGAAACAGAATCAACATTGCAACAAAAGCAAACCCGCGAAAAAGAATTAACATTGCAAAAATAAGCAAATCCGCGAAAAAGAATGAACATTGCAACAACAAGCAATCTGCAAATTGGAAGCAAACAACTCCGCAGCCCAGGCAACTGGCGAGTGCGTGGAGGGGTCTCACAGTCCGCCTCGTTGGGCTTGTGTTCTCCGTCGAAAGTGAAGTTCCAGCGGAGAAAAGACTCGAACTTCATGGCGGGAGCTGAAATGATTCTGTCTTTGGGGTCTTCGTCGTCTTCGAGCCAGTCGCGGTCGTCTTCGCCTCGCACTTCCTCCTCCTCCTCCTCCTCCCGCGCGTCTTCCAAGTCGTCCGCGTCGAAACACTCAAACCACTCGTCGTCGCTGTCTCTCTCGTAGTCCACGCAGCTTTCTTCGGCCCACATTTCCCGCGAAGTCGCGGCCTGCGGCCGCACCGCACCGCAGCGCCCCGCAGCGCTTGCTGCAGCAGCAGGCAGCTGTCGGAAGCTGCGGAATGCTGCGAAAGCTGCAGCTAAATGCTCTCCAAATGGCCAAACAAGGCATTTAAACGCGGCTTTACAGGCCCCAGCTGCTGCTGGGAAGCAGCAGCTCCAGCAGCAGCAGCAGCTCTGCTGGAGCTGCCGCTGCTGCGCTCAGAGCGCCTGCTGCTGCTGCTGCTGCTGCGCGCAGCTGCTAAATGCTGCAGCCCGTTTGGCTTATAGCAGCGAGGCTGCTGTGCGGGGCCGCTGCTGCAGCGCGCAGCAAACTGCAGCGCAGCAACTGCAGCGCAGCAAACTGCAGCGCAGCAACTGCAGCGCAGTAACTGCAGCGCAGCAAACTGCAGCGCAGCAACTGCAGCGCAGCAACTGCAGCGCAGCAACTGCAGCGCAGCAACTGCAGCGCAGCAACTGCAGCGCAGCAA